CATTTACAGAAACGCTAAGTAGTACTTTAAAATTGTTTGCATAAATCCAACTTTCCAATCCCATTATAATTGTCTACACTATACAGTCAGCCAAATTGAGCAGGCAACCAGTTTAATAGTTATTTTTATTATACAACATGTACCATAGTTCTCATTAATTTTGCATGGCACTGCATTCAATTTCAACACAACTCTGTTGTAAACTTTCCCTTTATCTTTTCAAAAAAAAACATGAACAAATTATGCCCCATTTTTGGGAGGTAAACTCAATTCAAATCAGGAGAGTTAAGCTTGATGCCTTGATCATGATACAAGATGGATGCAAAATTCGATAAAAATTGACAGCTTCGTCACGTCTGGCGAGCGATTAAGTGTAGAACAAACAAGACTGGACCAAAACAACTTTAAATTAAAACTTAGAACACTCTTCAAGTAACGTGTTAAAAACAAAATAGTAAAACTAATACTGTGCTTCTTACCGGAGTCAAGAAATGTTCACTTTTCTGTCGCTATTTCAGCATCCGCAAACCACAGAAGTTTGCAGTTTAATAAATAAAGTTTTAAAAAGTATTTATGTTAGGAAAATAAATAGTTTTGATATTTTCTATACTCAATCAAGATGGTCAAATCAGGGTGGGCGACAAAATTTTATTTCATGAGCCCGCGTCTCTCCGCTGACTTTGACCACCCAAATCCGCCATGTTTTGACCACGCGGCCGCGCTAATAATTTATAGTAATTTTGTTGACGTTTCCTCCAGGTCTTACAGAACTCAATGATTATTCCAGGTCAATTAAAATTCAACTGATCTGGTTACCAACGAGATATTCATTGGATTAGCATTAGTTTTCAAAAATAGATAATGCTGGATTTTTATCACGAAGTAAATGCGATAATAAAGTAAGAATAATTAATGATTTTTAATTAATATGAATAGGTAATTTTTGAATTTCAAACATCAGTCGCGCGACGGATTTGACATACTCTAGATCCGCCCCTGGCACGCCGTGGAATAAACAGGGGGAGTTTTATTGCTGGACGAAGTGTTCACAATCAATGTACCGAAAGATTATGGGCAGGGGTAAACAGGGTGCTATCAGCTCTTTATATAGGGATTTTTACTTTTCTGGAAAAGATGCTCCTTCTTGATGCATTGAATGAGGAAAATTTATTTGCATTGCACTTTGTTTATCTCTCAAGAATAAATGAAGCATTGTTAGAGTTTAAGCAACAATGGAACCATCACGGCATGAGGACAACTGGCCATCAAACACCTCTGGCATAATGGCAAACAAATATAATTCACACTACTGATTCGCTTCTTAATTTTGAAGAATATGGAGTGGACAATGAAGGACCAACACCTCAAGTACGCAGTGATAATGAAGTTGTTATACCAGACACTTTAATAAATTTGTCAGAAGAACAGAAACAGTTGCTTTCCAATAGTATTAATCCCCTTGCTAATGATGGCAATTATGGCATCAATCACTATTTGGAAGCAGTTGAAATACTTACAAACTTTACACAGGGCTAACTCAACATGTTTGCAAATCGTGTTAAATTGAAAGATATAATTAGTTTCTCAGAAGTTCATACTAGACATTTGTTCATCAGGGCCATGTAAAATCGATAGTTGGGAGGAGGTGCATATTTATTCATTTGTATGTTTTGATCTATTTTAATCAATAACTGTTAGGTTTTGTGATGTAGCCATGTATTGACTTACACCAACAAATGTTACAGATAACTATACGATCACATCTAATGTTCAACGTCTTCTTATTTACAATGATTTAACTACTTCTATTTATACAAAATTTACGTAAGATTATTTTGGGTTCTGATAACAAATATGGTTTATTGACGTCAACGGAAAACTACTAGGAATTTTAAAAATATTGTCTTGATAACATTATAAGTATCTCTTAACATTAGTCATCTAATTACTTACACTTGAATTAATGTTTACTAAATATGGGAAGAATATAAGAGCATATCTTAACACCCCCACTTGCTCTTATGTTCTGAGTATAAAATATTTGCATTCCTAAACTGATACTTACCGTTTGGTCTTACTTATGCGTACTTTATAATTCCTATCATATCTTTCCTAAAATTGTCTGCTTAAATTTCTCCAATTTGTTTTTGCTTGCTGGTTTTGTAAAAATATCTGCTATGTTTTCTTCACTGGTTACATATTCTAAGTTAATTCTACCTTTCTGTATTTCTGATCTGATGAAGTGGTATTTTATGTCAATATGTTTGGATCTCTGGTGATGGACTGGATTCTTGGCTAAGTTCATTGCTCCTTGATTAATGACTTACCTTCGTTTATACCTACCTTCATATCTTGACAGAGTTGCATTAAGAACTTTGCTTCCTGCACTGCATTAGCGAGTGCAACATACTCTGCTTCGCACGTTGACAATGCAACTGTTGGTTGTTTTCGGCTTTTCCATGATATTAGTGGTCCTTGTTGTGAAAGCTGGAAGTTATAACCTGTAATACTTCGTCTATCTTCTATAGACGCTCCCCAATCTGAATCACTAAAACCTTTAAGTGTTAGTGGCTGACTCGATTTTTGAAATATCAACCCTAACTCTTGTGTGCCTTTTAAGTATCTCAACACGTGCTTTGCTATACCCAAGTCTGCTTGTGTGGGTTTTGACATTTTCTGAGACAGTTTTGTTACAACATAACACAAATCTGGTCGTGTACCGGTCATCATATAAATTAAGCTTCCTATCATTGCCCTATACAATTTAGGATCATTCAATTCAGGGGACTCCTTACTCAAAACGTTTTCAATTCCTAAAACACATGGAGTTGGCTTTGGTTTGCAATCAGACATTTTGAACTTCGAAAGAACTTTCTGAAGGTAACGGCTTTGGTTCATCTTCATGCAGTTTTCACTTCTTTGAAATTCAATACCTAAGAACCATTTCAGTTCTCCTAAGTCAGTCATCTTAAATCTGCTACTTAAAGATTCTTTGATTGCTTTGAGTAGATCTGCGTCGCTTGCTGCTAAAATGATATCATCTACCCATATAATAACAATAATGCATCGCTTATCATCAATCGTATGAACATATAGGCATGGATCTGCGAGTGACTGAACAAATTTTTCCTGGGTTAGGAATTCATGCAATAAATTGTTCCAATTTCTACCGCTCTGTTTGAGTCCATATAGTGACTTCTTTAATTTACAAACTAGTTTTTCACCATTGTTACCTATTTTCTCGAAACCTTCGGGCTGTTCTATATAGATTTCCCGATCAATAGGCGCATTTAAGTAGGCAGTCTTCACATCCATTTGGTGAATAAGCATATTTTTCTGAACCGTGCTTTGTAATAGCGTGCGAACTGAACTCATTCGTGCTGTGGGTGCGAACGTTTCTTGATAGTCAATATCCTGCACTTGAGAGTAACCCTTAGCCACAAATCTTGCTTTGTATGTTTCCTCTCCTTTCTGGTTTGTCTTAATTGTATATACCCATTTTGCCCCCACTATTTGCCTATCCTTAGGTTGTGGTACAATTTCAAATGTCTCATTGTCTAGTAATGCTTTCATTTCTACACCCATGGCTTCCTGCCATTTAGCTGCATCTGGTGCTTTTGATGCTTGTTCATAATTCACTGGAATGTCTGCTAGTCTATAGCAGTAATCTACTGTTATATTAATATTATCCTCTGTTTTGGTTTGTCCAAAATAATTTGGTTTGCTACGTGCTCTTGTCGGATATCGTATTTGCGTATCTTGTTCATGACTTTCCTGTATTTGTGAGTCATCACTTGCTTGTACAATTTCATTGTTAGAACTATCTTGTTTTGCCTCTACTGTACTAGGTAATTCAGGTTTATTATTTACGCTCTTAGCATTCTTTTGTCCGCTTAAGACAAAATCATCTGAATCTATTTGCTGAACCTTAAAATTGTCATGGAATTTTACGCATCGTGCTTTTTCAACTTTATTAGTACCTGCATAAAACACTAGATACGCTGGGCTTCCTTTGTCGTACCCAACAAAGGTCCCTTTTCTACTACGGTCATCAAGCTTTTTTGCATTTTGTACATATGCAAAACATGTTGAGCCGAAAACATGCATCCTACTCAAATTTGGCTTCTTCCCAATAAGTGCTTCGTAGGGTTTCTTCCCTAATCGTGTATTAAAACATCTGTTTCGGATGTAAGCAGAAGCCATCACGGCATACGTCCACAAGTATTTTGGTAATGCAGCATCTATTAATAGACACCTTGCCATGCTAAATAAACTACGCCATGCTCTTTCTACAGTGCCGTTTTGATGGGGTGAGTACGGCGCACTAGTCTCATGTTTAATGGACTTCTTTCTCATTAGGCACTTGAATTCGTTATTAAGAAACTCACCTCCGTTGTCACTTCGTAACCTCTTGACTTTTCCGTAAGGCGCCACGTCAGCTAAGAACTTTTCTGTAGCTTCTAATGTGTCACTTTTTTGCTTCAGAAAATAGACCATATTTATACCTGAAAAATCATCTACAAATGATAGAGCATATTTAAATCCATCTTTGGCAGTGGGCTCTATTGGCCCTGCTAGGTCACAATGAACAAATTCTAAATGAGCTTTAGCCTTTTGATCCGGTTCTCTACTTCTACTCTGGCACATTTTCCCCTGTGTACACACTTCACATTCTACCTCCGTGTAGTCTGTAATTTTCATTCCGTCAACTACCTTCTCGAGTTTTCTGATATCCGTATAGTTACAGTGGCCTAATAGTTTGTGCCAGTCCTTTAGCGAAGTAGCACTGTTACTTGATGATGAAATACTGTTCAAGTAATACAACCGTCCTTTCTGTTTAATTTCAAATACGCTACCTTCCTCAGTAATATAATTACTTGCCTGTTTATCTAAGTTTACTGTTCCTCCTTTATCTATTTCTGCTGAAACCGAGAATATGTTTTGATCATAAGATGGAATATAGAGCGCGTTATTTAGTATTATGTCATGTAGATTACCCTTTATTCGAATAATTTAACTTTAGCGTTTCCCTTTCCCAATAACACATTTGCTTTGCTACCATCTGCTAACTCTATAAAGTGGGAATTACAATCGAAATTTTTATCAAAGCTTACAAATTTGGAGCTGTCATTTAGGATATGACTTGTCGCTCCGGTGTCCACAAGTAAGTTTGTGCTTTCCTTTCTTCTTCTTCTATCTTGAGAATCATTCAGCGTAAACGCATACGAGTTTTCGCCGTTTTCTTCATCTTCTTTCTTCTTTTCTGTTGCTTTCTTTGCGTAATCCTTCTTCGTTGATCGACAATCCTTTGTGTTGTGCGTCTTGTTCTTACACTTACTGCACCATTTATCTTTCTTCATCCAACACTCTGAGCTTTTGTGTCCTATCTTGCCGCACTTGATACATTTTCCTTCAAATCGTTCTTTTTGCTTTGTGAACATAACGTTGTCCTTTTCGTTCTGATCACAGCACTTTTCGTTCTCCTCGTAATTCCGTAAAGCTGTTTTGAATTCCATGAATGTCATTTGTTTTTCTCGCTGAATAACCACAGTCGAGAATGTTTTGTACGTCCTCGGTAGACCCTTTAACACCATTGCAATTAGTAAGCCGTCGCTTATTATCTCCTCGGCGGATTTTAATGCGGTTGCAGCAGTTTCTGCTCGAATCATGTAATCTGTAGTGGTCTCGTTTTCACCTTTTTTCAGGGAGGTTAACTCTGTATATAGGGCGATGATTCTGGGTTTGCCCTTTCCTTGGTAATGCTCACGTAGAACATTTAGGGCTCTTCGGCCATCATCTCTTGCCTCTCTTATAATAAGAGACAAACTCCGATCGTCTAGGCATTGCACCAACTCGGCAAAGGCATTCGCATTCCTTGCCTCATCCAGCTCGTCTTCACCACGGCTAGGAACAAACACATCGTGCAGTTTCTGCATTCTCATGAATGAGAGAAACTTCACTTCCCAGAGCTCGTATCTGCCTTCATCTCCATCGAAGACAAGTCCTCTCCTGGGCCCATAACCTGTTAGGTTTTGTGGTGTAGCCATGTATTGACTTACACCAACAAATGTTACAGATAACTATACGATCACATCTAATGTTCAACGTCTTCTATTTTACAATGATTTAACTACTTCTATTTATACAAAATTTACGTAAGATTATTTTGGGTTCTGATAACAAATATGGTTTATTGACGTCAACGGAAAACTACTAGGAATTTTAAAAAATATTGTCTTGATAACATTATAAGTATCTCTTAACATTAGTCATCTAATTACTTACACTTGAATTAATGTTTACTAAATATGGGAAGAATATGAGAGCATATCTTAACAATAGCAACCAGTTTTTTCAATGTAAACTATAGCAGAACGTTTTGGAAAAGATGCTCCTACTGTACAAAAATCCCTATGTATATAAACATTGCCCTGCCCCCACAATCATCAATCTTGCACGGCCATGTTCATAGTTTTTAAAAAAGCTTTAAAAAATTTTTAAGAATGTAAATTTGAAAATGTTGTTCTCAATCTAAACAATATTAAATGCCCAAGATTTTTCATCCTTTAAGATGTTTGTGAACTCTTCCACAAGTGCTGGATAAGATTCATATGTGGTTGGCAGTTCAATCCTTGGGACGCATGTACGAGCAACAGGTCTTCGTTGAAATCCATCTAGGCTTGTAAAGGTGATAGATATAAATGTGCATGATATTACATTACTTCCAGTGCAGAACTGCAAAAACCGTGATAGCTGTTCTCCTTCTAAGGACTTCACAAATCTCTTCAGGTGTTAAAGGCACTGTCGTTCAGCCTCAGTGTTTGCCTCAACTTTCAATAATTTAATAACTTTTTTGGATGATGGCTCTTTCATCTTGTAAAATTCACTGACAGTTTCAATACTTTGGCAACACTGATCATATTTTAATTGACTGAGGATGGGAGTCCAGCAATTAAGTACATAATTGGGCTTTTGAATGAGCTCCTGGTGTGCCAATTCATTAATAATGGCTTTGATGTTTTCCGCACTTGGTACTTTGAAGCATTTGAAGGTGGAAAGAAACTCTAAGATGTCTTCATCATCCACGCTAAATTCACCACCAAGACAGGAATCCATCACCTAAGAAACAATCAAATCTGCACATTACGTATTACCATGTTGCATTGCCATTTCAAAAAAAGTGACAATAACTTTTTTGTATGTAACCCTATAAAAAACCTGAAGAGCCTGAAAGTTAAAAAATATAAGAAAAACTTTCTATGCATACTTCTCTATCATCGGATGCAATATATTTCCGGAAAGACTCGAGCAGAAATTCTATAGTAATGTCTTCTTCTCCAAACAAGCACGTAACCACAAATAACCGAGACAACTTCAGTGGAAAGTAACTACAATTCTTGTAGCCAAAAAACAAGACTCTTGCTACTGCTTCCCATTCTTTTTTCTGAAGATCGTGTCTTATAAATGGAATTTTTTCGCTAGAGCCAACCATTAACAAGTTAAAACAATCTTGCCAAAAGTTTGTTAGCATATCCAACATCACTCCTTTACCTTCTCCTTTTTCAGGTCTCCCTTGCTCATCCAGTACCTGAACTTCAAGTAAACAATCCACTATAGCTGGGTCGCTGAAAATTGAGATGATATCCTTGCGAATGCTACTTCTGAGTATAACCACATGTTTTGCAGGATTTTCTAAACCATATGAAAGGTGGCAATCATCACCTAAAAAAGTTAGATTTAACTATATTGTATGATTTGGCAAAGCAATCTTGGTAAACTTATGAAGCTCATTTCACACTTACGTATTTGTGGGATTTAAACATCCTCATTAGTCAATGCATGTATACAATACTTAAGCAATGATTAAGATAAAGACAGTTGAATAACATTTAAATACAATTTTGTATCAAAGTTGAATTACTGATAAAAAGTAAAAGTATCAATAAAAATTTTCCATTGGAGTGGAATTCTTAATGTCTGTCATGTGTGATAGTTGAAAAAGCATGGACAAAAAAAGCCCAACAGGCACAATCTTAACCTTTACAAAAATAAACTATAGCTTTTAATAGAAAACTATGGTTTTATGGTAAAAACTAAAGTTTTTAAAAGAAAACTATAGTGTTTGCCAGAAAACCATAGTTTTTATACGAAAGAAATTATTGTGTTTAGGAGAAAAGTATAATTTTTATGAGTAAGAAAACTATTGTGCTTAAGAGAAAACTATATTTTTTGAAAACTGACCCTCTCACCATGTGTATTAAAATCAAGAAGTCAAATGCATTAAAAAAGGTTCTTACAATCATCAGACAACAGAGGGATTTCTTCACTTGGTCTCTGTACAGCTGTGAGCATGTTGTTTCCTAAATCAAAACTTGTAGCATTTTTGAGGTCAACAGAGGGACTTGTACTAACTGTATTTGTTGTACAAGTGGAAGGAAATTGTGGTAAATCATCAGCAGAATTAACAGGAAGTATTGCTTGCTGTTCTGGGGCAGTAATATTATCTCTTGATGGCAACACATTTGAGGAATCACATGGAGGCATTTGTCCATGGTATACAGTGGCATTGGCAAGATCATTTTGTACTAGACTACCAGCATTGGAACCAGACTGATCCTCAACATCATCAATATTAAATGCATTATCAGGGATATTTGCATCATCCTTTAAAAAATAAAAGGTGCATTTCTTTTTACCAATTGCAAATATTATTTGATTGACAATATGGACGCATGTTTTGTCCATAACATGTACCTAGGTTACGATGGGATGAGGTGATTGATTTGGCTCAGCAAATACAATTAAATATTTAAAATCATTCAGCGAACAGAACCTTAAACATAAAATATAACTTCCTTTCATTCCCTCCTAGAGCCCTTGAAAATACCTGTCTGGATTGCTTTGAGGATTTTGTATTCAGCAACATGCAGCTTGGACGTACATAGACAGGTTTCTGTTTGAAAATTCTGTGAAGCATCATCCCATCAAGAAGTTGCCCAGGTGCTAACGATGGGGCCACTAAACTGTTGTGGATTGAGGTCAAAATCTCAATCTCCACATTTGAGGGTATTTTTCCATCAAATGCTTCAATTATTCTGATCTCAACTGCTGCAGCTGATAGGCCTTTAGTGAAACTACAACCAGTTAAGATGTGGCCATTTTCCATTAATAAAAGCCGTGAGCATTGCCGTGGTACCACATCTTCATTTGGCCCACTAAATAATATCAAGTCCCGTAAGTAAGGTCGGTTGTCTCTACCTTGAATCTTGCTTCTGTTTACAGTTCTGCTCCTTCGTGGTGGCGGTCTCGCTTCAGGAATAAAACGTCTTGCACCAAACGCTGTAGTGGTAACGCCACCATTATTTCTACGGATTGGAAGAGTATTTTGCCTCGACGGTGAATGTGAGACTTCCATTCCTAGGAAAAATAAATGATATGTTTTTTCAGCATTTTGTTTGTCTTCAAGTAAAACATTCTTATTATGCTAAGCTATGCAGATGTGTTAGATAATAAAATGTATTTAAAAGAGATAGCAAAATAATTGGCGAGTCCTTGAACGGTTTTTTCCTAATGAGTTTTTTGCTAATATAGATAGAAATGGCTGTTAGATTCGATTCTTCTAACTCCATAATGGAATGTCTTTGCGACTATAAAATGTTAATTGGTCATGCAATATTAAAGAAGGGGGGGCGGGGGAAATGTAGCAGGCTTGGCTGCCCAATTCATGCGTCGGTTGAAAATTTCTTGGTGTTTTCTCGCTTTAGTTTGGGGTAAGATGCGTGATGCGGTTGAGTTGATTACCTGTAACTGAAAAACGTTTATTGCCCCTTGTTTTTGAGTGGTTGTCAGCTTTCACAAACGAGATAGAATCAATTACCTAAATTCAAAAACCTCTTTCACTTTTCAAGTATATTAACGCGTGAAATCAATTTATCAAGGTATACGTATTACGGCCTTTGAAAGTTAACTGTTCAACAATTACAAAAACCTTTTCAAGCCGACAATTTGAAGAAATAAATTATAAAACATACTTCAAAAAACATGATCTTGTAAACTTAGCTATATTAGCTTTATAATGAGTTTGAAATAATGTCAAAATATTGCTTTTAGATTTTGTTTCTTGCTATTATAACTGAAATTTTGAGTTTACATGATGATGGTTTTCGGAATATGTTACAAATTGTTTGCAGTATGGGGCAACAATTGAAAACAAACTACGAGACCTGAAACTGTTCAAGAAGTTCTTCCATTTGCTCCACCGTTCCATCAATGTACCTGTGCAGTAATTTTCCAGAATTTGCACACTTGCGAGTTTTTCTCTAAGGAAGTTTACTTGTTTGTTTGAGCATTCTGCAGATTCACGCTGAAGAATTGTCTGCGCCATATACTGAATATGAAACACGAAATTTGTTCCTTAATATATTTTAGTCTTTTGAAATGTTTAATAATGAGCCAGAGCAAACACTCGAACGCTTATACGTCTTTATATGAATTTCATTCCACGAGCCAGTAATGTGCCCACTATTTTTTTCACTTTTGATGCGAGGTTTTTATATTTTTTCTTAACTAGGTGGAGTTAAGGCGAGACCTATAAAGCATTTGAAAAACGCAAGTACATGTACGTAAGAATGAAAAGTGCGCGAATATTCAGCATAATGAGTATAGGCATTGAGGATAGGCCATTTCCTATGATCTAAGTAGTAGCTTCTAGATTTAATATCATACGTAAATTTAACGTCACAATGCGCGTTTGAAGCAACATTTGTTATAAAAATGACGACAGGTTTTGTGTCAGAGATGCCAATTGTGTGCTTGATTACTATACCATAAGTAAAATGTGTAAAATTTATTTTATTAGGAGAAATAGTTTGGTATGCAAGATTTGCAAGATAGATGATGGTGAAGACTGGTTGGGATTCATGTGGGCAGTACTTTCATGCAAGTTGTCTGAATGTTGACTTTGGACAAACTCTGACAGAGTACTTTGCTTGCCCATAATCAGACATGACAATCGTATAATAATACAAAACATAAATTGTAAGATTTAAAAGTGCCGAATAAAAAGACTTACCGATTAGAATACTTTTGAGCATCATCAATATCTTTTAGAACATATTACAAGCAAGCTCAATAACAAAGAATAATATACTTCACAATGCGCGTTTGCAGTAACATTCGTTATAAAAAGACCGCATATTTTGTAAAAGCCAAATGAACATATAATACAATGTGGGCGCTGTGCTGTATACTTTGTGTTGATTTGTGTAATGAAATTTTATACAAGAAACATATTGTACTTATAGCGATTATTATGTCAAGGCTTTTGCCGCTGACCAGGAAGTTAACAGGCGCGTCCCCGATCATCGCCCAGGTTGTAGCAACCCCATTGAGCTCTATAAGACCTGGAGGGGCAAAGGGGCCTGGACCCGTGGTCAAAAACATGGCGGTAATGGCGGATTTTGGTGGTCAAAACTTCCACTTTAAACATTTTTTCAATATTCACTCCTCCTGATTTCTAATACTGTTTGTATGAACGAAAACAAGTGAGAAAAAAACAATTACGATACCAACAGCATATCATGTGAAAATAATGCTTCAGCATTGCGTGAAAACACAGGACAGACACACATCAAAATAAAGAAAATCGACGGTAGAGAAACGCATATTTTGGATGTAACATTTAAGTTATTTTATGACATTTTAGCCTTTTAAAAGTGAAAATCAAACGGCATTCTTTACTAGACCTGTCAATCTCGTCAAACTTATACATTATTTCATGCTTTTGTGTGTTTGACTGTGTAAAAAATGCTCCTAAGGAAGCGAGAAAATGTTTGCTTCAGTCCTACGACATAAGTCAACTGAAAATTTACCATGGATAAGTATAAGTGTATTGTCATTACCTGATAAATCTACTGAAAACTCATAAAGAAAGTATGTTAAAATAGAAGAGCTACAAAAAAGAAAAAAATTCAAAACACCATGACACTGTTGCTTGGTAATTTGTATTTTGTAAACAGCTTGGCAGAATCTTGGATCTATTACTGAACAGAACTACATTAATTTTCCATTGAAATTACAAACTTGGAAACTAAAGTGCATTGGTTTCTCTGACAAAAACACTGTCTATTGCTGCATGAAGGCAAAATAGTTATTTGACAGTGTAGCTGAAGAAATTTATCAAGTTCTATAGATATTATTGTGCATTACTGACAGTTTTTTGGAATTGTGTAATATATGTCATGAACAAGATATAATTTTTCAAAATGCTAACCCCTTCTAGCACTACTACTCTTCTGTTTTGCTTAAACAACTTACAGCTACCAATACTAATTATTTATATGTACAAACTAACATTTGGGAATTAAATGATAAACAACTTGTTAAATCTTTGTATTTTACATCAAGCCTTTGAATTAGTTCCTTTTATCTCTTGGTAAAAAATATTAATGAAAGACTTACAAATCAAGTTTCTCGAAAATAGTATTTTGTACAAAGAAACTAAATAATTGGAAAGGTCACATGTTGAAGACAGACTTTGCTTCTTTGACTAGGTTGCTTGACCGTGAGCAAATTTAAATTTGTTTACAATTTGTTTAAAAATTCTTTTATTGATTTCTACTAATTCTTCATAAGACACAAAGAATTTCTTTGCCATCTATTTTTGCTTCTTCTACATTCAACTTCATTGTAACCAATGCATCCGATGTGAATTTGTGGATCACCTGGAATCATACCAAGTATGGATTTAATGAGATGAGACAATAATATGTTTAATTTTTCATGCATATTAATGATATAATCATAAGTTACTGTTGAACAAAAATTTCAAGGTAGAAACAAATCTTAGCACATTGTTCAACACACTACTTTTATCTTGGTTTTTAAGTAGTAACCTGTTTACTATAACAATAAATATTTCATTTACAGAAACGCTAAGTAGTACTTTAAAATTGTTTGCATAAATCCAACTTTCCAATCCCATTATAATTGTCTACACAATACAGTCAGTCAAATTGAGCAGGCAAACAGTTTAATAGTTATTTTTAATATACAACATATACCATAGTTCTCATTAATTTTGAATGGCACTGCATTCAATTTCAACACAACTCTGTTGTAAACTTTCCCTTCATCTTTTCAAAAAAAAACATGAACAAATTATGCCCCATTTTGGGAGGTAAACTCAATTCAAATCAGGAGAGTTAAGCTTGATGCCTTGATCATGATACAAGATGGATGCAAAACTTGATAAAAATTGACAGCTTCGCCACGTCTGGCGAGCGATTAAGTGAAGAACAAACAAAACTGGACCAAAATAACTTTAAATTAAAACTTAGTAGTAGAAACACTCTTCAAGTATCGTGTTAAAAACAAAATAGTAAAACTAATACTGTGCTTCTTACCGGAGTCAAGAAATGTTCCTTTTCGGTCGCTATTTCAGCATTCCAAACAACAAAATTTGGCAGTTTAATAAATAAAGTTTTAAAAAAGTGTTTATGTTAGGAAAATAAATAGTTTTGATATTTTCTATACTCGCAATCGTGGTGGTCAAATCAGGGTGGGCGACAAAAATTTTATTTCATGAGCCCGCGTCTCTCCGCTGACTTTGACCACCAAAATCCGCCATGTTTTTGACCACGCGGCCGCGCGCTGATAATTTATAGTAATTTTGTTGACGTTTCCCCTCCAGGTCTTATAGAACTCAATGAGCAACCCCCGGAATTCCTATAAGTCTATATATGACATACGACCATACATAACATCGAACACGTTTGAAAGCCAAATTCGCAACTTTGTTCGTTTTTAGTCCCTACCAACAAACAAACGCAATCTGGTGAGCGTTTTTGGGCATTGTAAGTAAATAGAAGAATTATTTACATTTGTATCGATTCATTGACACTGAAAGTTGCTAGCAGTTTGTGATACAAATTTTGTACAAAACTAGCATCCGTCAACAGGCAAGGAGGTCTTACAGAGTTTCTCGCAGTCAAATCACAAAAAACCTTATAAGTATATGAAAAGTCTTAATTATGATGCAATCGGGTCAGATGTAAAGCAATTTACGTTAATTCGTGATTTAAAAATAGCATTTTTCTTACTCCTGACTCATGAGTGTTAGCAAAGTGTCACGACAAAGATGGTGGAGTTTTTTTTATTAAGTAAGTGGTACTTTAACTGCTTTTTTAGATCCTACGAGTTGATGGTTTTGCATTCGTGAGCTCTTTCGAAAATTTAAGACTATTTTAAAAGGTACCATTTAAAAAACTTGCTGGAGAATGTCAAAATTGAAACAACTTGGTCTGCTGATATGGAAGAATTTCAAGCTTCAAAGAAAACGTCCGATTGGAACCATTTTTCAATTAGGGTTGCCATTCTCTGCGTCATGCATATTCCTGGCCTTGCAAGTGTTCCTTGTCACTGCCAAAGATTGCCCAGCCTTGGTTTGGAATGAATTCAATGTAACCTCTCCACCACCTGCACTAAGAAGATCATTCTCTATAGGCTTGGCTGCAAATAATGCTTCTCAACTGTCACATGAGCTTTTCAACAACCTTACATTTTATCTTAATGAACATGCTTATCTGGATCAAAACATCACTTTGCAAATATTTCCAAATGAGGATGACATGGTTAATGAAATAATGTTCATCTGAAGGCAACTGATGTTCCTCTGAAGGCAACTCTACCAAATGCATTGGAGGTATATACTTTACTCGTCTCCCAACAAAACAGGCCAATTTCATCAACTACAAGCTGCGATTCATTAACACAAAGGAAGACAACTTTTGCCTTGGCAAGAATGGCCATGGCTGGTTGACAAAGTATGTTTTCCTGTGGTTTCAAAATCCTGGACCAAGAATTAAAGATGATTCCCATGAAGGCAGTCCAGACTATTATAGTACCGCTTTCTTGTTTACCCAACATGCAGTAGATCGAGCTATTATTGGACAGTTTGCTAATCAAGACCAAATATCGGTTCGCATGGAAAAATTTCCATTCCCAAACTATTTTAAGGCTCCCTCAGTTCATATATTCAATTTATAATCCCAGTCGTCATAGAAATTGCTTTTTTTTATACTGCACTTGTGACTGTGCATAATATTGTATATGAGAAGGAACAACAGCTAAAGGTAAGTTGTAACTTGTCTCATTTGCTGAGATCTTTTTATTTCAAAGCCTGAATCAGAGTCAGAGAAATAACTTCTTTGGATAATTAAATTCATATTAAGATCATTTTGCAATATATTTGATAGGTGGAAAATTTTATCTTCCTGGAAGAGACAGTGCTACCTTTTAAATGTTTTTATTGATTGTTCACTCCAAACATGTTGTCAAACTGAGCACCCTTTCAGTATATTAAATTAGTTTGTAGTTCAGTTTTTGAGAAGATTTGCTACTACAGCTTTATTCAATTCAATAAAAGCTATATCTTTAATTCATGTGTTCTAACAAACTAATTAAGTTAGGTATTTCATGTTTTTTAGGAAACTTTAAAAATCATCGGCGTCAATAATTGGCTTCATTGGGTGGCGTGGTTTATTCATAGTTTTCTTATTTATCTCGTTGCAGTTGTCATAATGACGCTTCTTTTCACGATAAAATTGAACAGTAATGGACGTGTTATAGACAAAACAGCACCCACAATATTTTTCATCTATCTTTTGCTTTATATTACCTCTGGTATTTTGTTTTGTTTCTTCGTAAGCGTTTTTTTCTCCAAAGCGAGCTCCGCTGCCAAAGTTGTTGGTGTAATTTTGAGTATTTCCTTCTTATTATTCTTCTGCATAATGCAATACTACGACAAAATGTCGTTCACTCTCAAAGCATTGCATGCCTCATACCAAATCTTGGCATGACTCTTGGAGCGATTGTCGTCGGCAAGTTTGAAGGTAAGTTGAAACGTTGATGGAATGTATGTGTTGAACCGCTTTCGTTTTAAATTACTTTCATCTGAAAAGGTATGTTCTTCATGCTCATATAAGTTCATTAAGCCCGAGGTTTATTCAATAAGGATTCTGAAATGATGCTTCTGTAAATAAAGCGTTTTTCAACTTTTCTCATTAAGTCATAAAGAATTTATAAAGATCCTTTGTGTGTAACCACAGCGTTAACAACAGTTAACGAACAATTAGATGATTTTTGAATACAGGGTGTACAAAGAATGCCTATAGAAATTGACGACTTATTGTGATTATTTCATGACTATGTTACTGATGCAAAAAGATTCTAACTTGTCTGCTTCATGCATGTTTTACATATCTTTGGTACTATCGCGAAAGCTTTTCTTCTCCTGGGAACTTTAAGCCTGGTTCACACGAGTGAAATAAGAATAAGCACAAGCGTAGACAAAAGATAAAATAAAGATAAGTAACGAAGCATGTGACATAAGCATGAACATTAGCGCAAGCATACGGAAAATATTCAAACATAAGCTAAGAGAAGAACAAAAGAAGAACAAAAAGAAGATTTAAAGAAAATCCCATGATGTCTTTGTCTTTATAAACTCCTAGAGCAATAGAAACAAAAGCCTCGAAGCTCGTGCTTATTTTACTCGTGTTAACCAGGCTTAACATTTAACGAAATTTCAAAACTTAAAACTTCAAAACTTAAAAAAAAAGAATTGATTTCAAAGGAACATAATTGACAAAAAATGCCTATATGGATATTACCCCTCCCCCTTCCCCTCCCCATAATTATTGAGTTTGACACCACTGTGCAGCGTTCGTGTAGTTTTTAGGCCGACATTGAAAACTTCCAATTTTGTTTCTAATTTTACGTTTTCCTTTTCTCTAAATAACGAAAATACTAATCCCGCCCATGAAGGTCAATCCTGGGATAATTGAGGTGACCATATTCATATATTCTTTTATGCCCGTCTGATTTCTTTTCAAAGTGAAATTGTTTTAAAAAGAACTTAGCCTGACATAGCAGAATATATGAATATCGCCTCCCCCCCAATTAACACAGGATTGACACCAATGATCCCGCCAAAACGTTTTTTACATTCTAGGATCCGGTAGCGGCGTTCAATGGGATAACCTTTTTCATGGTGTTGATGTGGACGACACGTTCTCCCTCGGGACTGTGTTCATCATGATGATTATTAGTTGTGCCATATATGGTATGCTTACATGGTATATTGAAAATGTGTTCCCAGGACAGTATGGTACTTCAAAACCTTTTTACTTCCCATTCACCAAAAGCTACTGGTGTGGAAGCTTTGAAAAGGTAGCTTGAAATTTTGCTTAGCAACAGTCGTAAATACAGATATTGATTGTGTATGTTAGTGTTGTCCTGAGAAGGGCTGTTGGTGTTAATGTCGTGGCATCGCTTTAACAATCTTCCCGGGCTTAAACTGTTCGCCTTAACCGTTCGTTGCATGAATTTTTTCTCCGCCGGCCAGCAAAGGGTTAATTGTAATAAATTGTTATTGACCTCATCGTGAAGATTGTCATAATATTAGAAATCGTATGTGTTGTTTTGCTTGCGTTGTCAGAACGTTCATGTTAGGCTGCTGAAGTGTGAGATATCTTCCACGACTAGCAAAGCATCTGAGCATGCGCAGTTTAATAATTTTAAGAAGGTTCTGATGATTAATTTATCAATAGACGAAGTTCAAGTCAAGTCAAATTTTTTTCGATGCGTAAGTTTAGTGACTGCTTGCTGAATGCAGCTTAAAAAGTATTATAGGTTTTGGTACATTATATTTGGAGTGATATGTTTAAAATATCTTTCTGCCGCAGGTATCAAACGATGATGAAACCTTGCCATTATTAAGAAATGCGGAAAATTTCGAAACATCGAAGAAGTTCGAAAGGGCTCCTCAAGGTCTGGATGTGGGGATTGACATCAAAAATTTAGTGAAGATCTATGACGGAGTAACAGGTAGATGACCTGGACGGATTTACTGGGGGGAGGTAGGGAGTGCAAGCCCTCCAGGCATCAGATTTCACCCCCTTGAATAAATTTTTCACCCCTCCAAGAAACGTTTTAACCCCCCAATTTTTAGCAAAACAAATCCCTAGTACAGTTGAACTGAGTTTTCTGGGCAATGTTTCAACTTTCTACACTACCTTCGGTTGTTGCACTACCAGTCTGCCCTAAATTTGAAACGCTAACATTGTCTTACATCACTTCCTTTACCAGCTCGTCTCCCTAAAGTTTTCAGCACCCCCCCTGTTTGAAGTTTGAAAATCTGTCTATGAGATGACCTCAAGAATCTTATCAGACTTTACTTATGACGTCAAGATCTATGACAGAGAAACAAATAGATAACCTCACGAATCTTACCATACAGTATAGAAGCAACTGATGACGTCAACATGAATGACTGGGGCTCACTGAGCAACAGTTAGATGACGTCACAAATCTTACTACACAGTACAGAAGCCAATTATGACGATAAGATTTGCTACAGTGAAACAAGTACAAACCTCACGACCTCACAAATCTTACAAGATCAAACGGAAGCCATTTATGACGTCATGATTTATGACGGAGCAACCGGAAGATGACGTCACAAATCTTACCAGACATTACCGAGTTTAACTACGGCTTCAAGTTACGATATTAAACTTTCGTGTGTTATGCAGGTAAAAAAGTCGCTGTAGACGATGTTACACTAAAGATATTCGAGGGACAAATTACAGTTGTTTTTGGTCATAACGGAGCTGGTAAAAGTAGTTTGATGTCTGTCCTTACCGGTTTTTATTCTCCGAGTCAGGGAACTGCCGTTGTCAATGGTTACGACATTAGAACAAGCATGGATGGCGTACGGTCAAGTTTAGGTCAGTGTAGAAAGTAACGAAATGTTTTTGAAACATTTAGAAAGAGTTATGACTGTTAGGTGCAATGGTTTAGCCAGCCTCCAAGCTCAAATATTTACATAATACAACCAAACTTAGGAGCTGGCTACGCCGCCGGTTGTGAAAATTCATACAATTTACCATGTGAAATGACTGAGAAAAGAACTACATTTAACTTCTATAAATAAAGAGTATAGTTCAACTAGCTACTTACAGTTCGACTAGTATGTAAAACTTAAAACTACACTTAAGAATGTATTTTAAGAACATCGTGTTAATATCATATTTAAAAGAATCGATATTAATTAGCATTTGATTAAACTGTTCAATCCCATTTGATTTTTACTATTTTCAAAAAGGTTTATGTCCACAACATGACGTTTTGTTCGATCGACTGACTGTTAAGGAGCATTTGTGGTTCTTCGGAAAACTAAAGGGTCTGTCTAGTGATGAAATCGATAGCGAAGTGGTAAAAATGATGGAGTCCATCAAACTCGCGGATAAAGCTAACGCTCAAACTAGATATTTGTCTGGCGGGATGAAACGCAAGCTATCTTTAGGAGTAGCGTTGATTGGAAAAACAAAGGTAGATATTATCACGTGCACATCACGTGCAGTTGTTTTATTACTAGAATGAACATCTGAAGATCACTCGTGATATAGACTGAGGTATTTTGGACTAAAGTTTCAACATCAAATCACTTCAATTGAAGACATTAGACTGGAATATGTAAGAACTTAAGTTTCAACATTAGATCACTCCTGATGAAGACACTAGACTGGAGTACATAAGGACTAAAGTTTTTACACATCAAATATTTCCTGATGAGAACTCTAGACATAAGTTTGTAAAAACTCAAGATCTGTTCTGCTTAGGCATAAATCTGTTTTAAAGTCTTCTTAGAAGATATGCTTTTAATTACCAAGTTAAATTTTTCACCAACTCACTCCCTCAAGGTGTTAATGCTTGACGAACCTACTTCCGGTATGGATCCATCTGCCCGCAGGTTTACTTGGGAACTGCTTGAGAAGTATCGTGACGGACGAACGATCTTGCTGACGACACATTCCATGGACGAGGCCGACTTTTTAGGAGACCGCATTGCGATAATGGCCGAGGGCAAAATCCGTTGTTGTGGTAGTTCATTGTTTTGAAAACCATTATAGCGTGGGCTATCATATAGTGATGGTCAAAGAACCAGAATGTAAAGAACACAAAATTGATGAACTTGTTAAAGAGTATGTCCCGAATGGCCAATTGGAAAGTCGTGCTGGTAAGTTTTGATGTACTTCTCTAAGAGACTTTATAGGTTGAGCCTGCAGATATGAGCCAGCAGCTAGCTGCCGGATACGATGGAGTGACGAGCGTTGAATGATTTTAGCAAGTGGAAACAACGCAAAATTTATTATTTGACAAATTCATATGAACGTATTCGTATTAAAAAAACAATTGCCCAACATAAAATTCGAATTAAAGTCATTTTTTGAAAAGAAATAATATTTTATTGTTAGTTACGTTTTGTCTATACAAAAGACATCATCAGACTAGTAATTAAGTTTAACAATTGATTTCAAAGACTCTCGAGCTATACAATACATGTATACATAAATTTTCTTTCAGAAGAATAAAACCCGTCAGCTCGAACTAGGCTGTCATTTGTTGAGAAGGCGTTGTATTTTTACCAACTTTATCATATTTTATCAGTATGAAGTTTAAATAGTATACATTTCTTTTGTTGTAAGTGTTTTTCGATGTAGTGTTTAGCTAGTAGTCCTTTGCAATACTTTTTTTTTACCTACGTTAGGCGCTGAACTGTCCTACATCTTGCCTCGGGAATCTTCGCGGAATTTTTCCACGTTGTTCTCAGAACTGGAGACTCGACGAAAGGAGCTGGGAATTGCTAGTTATGGCGCTTCAATGACAACCATGGAACAAGTTTTTATGAAAGTGGCAACGGAATGTGACGACACGTTAAATGATAGACTCCAAGGTAAGCTGTGGTAAAAGTGGTAAGTGTTGATTTCCTGGTATAAATAAAAGTAAGGGATTGTGCCGGGACATTAGATGATAGACTCGAGAGTAAGATGTCGTAAAAGTGGTAATTGTTGATTGATCGGGATATCAATGAAAGTATAGGATTACGACTTGGTTTTAAATGATAGACTCGTGAGTAAGCTGTGGTAAAAGTGGTAATTGTTGATTGATTGGGATATCAATGAAAGTAAAGGATAGCGACGAGAATTTAGATGATAGACTCGAGAGTAAGCTGTCGTAAAAGTGGTAATTAATGATTGATCGGGATATCAATGAAAGTAAAGGATTGCGACGAGAATTTAGATGATAGACTCGAAAGTAAGCTGTAGTAAAAGTGGTAATTGATGATTGATCGGGATATCAATGAAAGTAAAGGATTGCGACGAGAATTTAGATGATAGACTCGAGAGTAAGCTGTGGTAAAAGTGGTAATTGATGATTGATCGGGATATCAATGAAAGTAAAGGATTGCGACGAGGTTTTAGATGATAGACTAGAGTGTAAGCTGTGGTAAAAGTGGTAATTGTTTATTGTTTAGTATTGACTCATTTCTAGAAAATGCTGATTTGTGGTTTTCATTTGACCAACACTGAATAGTTGTTTTTGTTCATGGTGTTTCAAGTCAAACTTTTTCTTTTGTACGTCATCTAGTGGATGCAATAAACGCTTCAGTAAGTACAGTGAATGATGAAGACACATTATATGGACGCAACAACAGCATGATGCCATTAACAAACACCAGAAAGCCACAGTTAAACTGCGGAATAACCTTGTTTCTGCAGAGGTGGTGTGCTATGTTCAAGAAACGCTTTCGTCATTCGCGTCGACCTAAGATGGCCATAATTCGTCAGCTTGTCGTGCCTCTTATTTACACAATGCTTGCTCTGATTGTCATTGACACGATTCTTAAGCCCGAGGACTCTCCTCCCAGAATTTTGACGACAGCTTTGTTTTATGATAACATTGCACTTTACGCAATTGTTGGAAACCCGAACAGGTAGATTATTGAACTTAAATATAACTGGACGGCTACTTACCGCCAAAATTTGAAGCCAGCAATTAAACTAGTCCCCATCTTTCCACGCACGGCCCAGAGAAACAGGCATGTTAATGTTTAAAAAGTATCCTTCCAGTTGTATATTTAATCAAATGGGTGGATAATAGAAATTTTTCGTTGACAAATACTATGAAATGATTTCGAGAAACCAATTTCCAAAACTCTTCTTATAAAACAGCAAACCTCAACTAAAATCTCAAAAATTACAACTCATTTTGCTTTGAAAACTGCTAAAATTTTACATATTATTTCCTACTAAGTTCTGGTAAAGTGTGTTTGTGACTTGTTCGATTTAAATTCTTGGAACTGTTCGAATTTTTAAACCAGAGCTGTTCAATTTTATTTGGTTAAATTGTTTAGATTTTAAGAAAGAAATGTTTGAATTTTCTCATGGTAAACTACTTAACATGGTTAATCACAGGGTTTTAAAAAAAGGAGACTTAGGAATTAATCTATTATTTTAATTTCAGTGCCCCATCACTGTGCTAAACCCTCTTTAGGATGAGTAAATATAATCAGCGACGTGCTTTTGTTTCATGTTTTTGTTGCAAGAGCAAAACCGTTTTCGATTTCTGGGCATTAAACTAAACTTCTTGCAGCAGAACATGCTGAAAAATGCGCGCACGAATTTAAAATCCCGATCAGACATTAAAATTTGATGTAAGCGTAAATAAATCTTTTTCAGGGAGATAAATGATCTGGTTAAAATGTACACACACTCGGCAAGCTCGTACACTAAGTTCGTTGATATCGACAAAGATAGTGCTTTACGTGATGGGAACATGACCAAATATTTGCTAGAAAAAGCCAAAGAAGGAACATTGAATATTTAAACAGACATTATCTGGTTGCAGCAACATTTACTGAAGCAAATAAAAAAGGTATTGCTTGCTCGTGTAGCTACATTATTTTCACCCTCCCTGAAGGTGTGTAACTATGATGGTGGAATAGTTCTTATCAATATCTGTCAATTTATGCTTTTTTAATGAGTTCAAAATGTTGTAATGGGATTAGTGTGACTTGTCAGTCGATAGCAGGTAATAAGACTTGTCGATCGAGGAAAGGTCTGTAGATAAAGAAAGTATCAAGGAAGTTTATGTAGATCGAGGAAGAATTTCTAGATCAAAAAAGGATCTGTAGATCAAGGAAAGATTTATCTGTAGATCGACGAACAATCTGTAGATCAAGAAAGATTTTTTAATCAAAGAAGGATCTGTAGATGAAGGAAGGATCTGTAGATGAAGGATTGATCAGTAGATCAAGGAAGGAGCTGTAGATCAAAGAAGGATCAGTAGATCAAGGAAGGATCTGTAGATGAAGGAAGGATCTGTGATCAAGGAAGGATCTGTAGATCAAAGAAGGATCTGTAGATAAAGGAAAGATCTGTAGATGAAGGAAGGATTGTAGATCAAGGAAGGATCTATCTGTAAATCGACGAAGAATCTTTTGATTAAGAAGGATTTTTTAATCAAGGAAGGATTTGTCGATGAAGGAAGCATCTGTGATCAAGGAAGGATCTGTAGATCAAGGAAGGATCTGTAGATAAGGGAAGGATCTATCTGTAAATCGACGAAGAATCTTTTGATTAAGAAGGATTTTTTAATCAAGGAAGGATTTGTAGATGAAGGAAGCATCTGTGATCAAGGAAGGATCTGTAGATGAAGGAAGGATATGTAGATCAAAGAAGGATCTGTAGATCAAAGAAGGATCTGTAGATGAAGGAAGGATCTGTAGATAAAGGAAGGATCTGTAGATGAAGGAAGGATCTGTAGATGAAGGAAGGATCTGTATATCAAAGAAGGATCTGTAGATGAAGAAAGGATTTGTAGATGAAGGAAGGATCTGTAGATAAAGGAAGGATCTGTAGATGAAGGATCTGTAGATGAAAGAAGGATCTGTTAATCAAAGAAGGATCTGTAGATAAAGGAAGGATCTGTAGATGAAGGAAGGATCTGTAAATGAAGAAAGGATCTGTAAATGAAGAAACGAGCTATAGATCAATAGAAAACATAAATATGAGGTAGATCAGCTAAGAATCTTGGCTAATTTAAGGTAATTTATGTGTGTTCTTATTTAGCAATAGCCAGGGCTTGGTTCAACGATCAAGCTTATCATGCGATAGCGGTGGCACTGAGTGCAGTGGACAACGCCATTTTGAAAAACACTACCGGGAATAAAAACAAATTAATCACAGTGACAAATCATCCTTTGCCGAGAACTACGAAGCAAAAATCAAATGATTTAGATGAGTATGTTATTTTTTGCTTTCGAGCTTTTCCCAAACTTTCACAACAAGCGTTCCTATAACTATATAGGGACAAGTAAATATATTTTGTATATTCTTAATGAATAGCGTTTTAATTATTCACATTATTCACTGTTAAATTTCCTTCGAAAACCACGCAATCAGTGACAGTGTTTTTATGTTATCAGGTATTATTTTTTAGTCTCTCAAATTTCTATTGAAATTTACATGTATGTATTATGAATTGATTTATATTAACCGTACATCCTGTGTCCCAAGTGCAGGTGTCACCATTGCACTATTGTTATATTATATACAGCTTGTATAACAATGTGCCCTCCCGGCTATCACCATAGTGCAATGGAGACTCCTTAACTTGGGACACAGGATGTACGGTGTATGTTTATATATACAAAGTGTATAACAATGTGCCCTCCCGGCTATCACCATAGTGCAATGGTGACTCCTTAACTTGGGACACAGGATGTACGGTGTATATTTATATATACAAAGTGTATAACAATGTGCCCTCCCGGCTATCACCACAGTGCAATGGAGACTCCTTAACTTGGGACACAGGACGTACGGTGTATATTTATATATACAAAGTGTATATACAATGTGCCTCCCGGCTATCACCATAGTGCAATGGTGACTCCTTAACTTGGGACACAGGATGTACGGTGTATGTTTTTATATACAAAGTGTATTACAATGTGCCCTCCCGGCTATCACCATAGTGCAATGGTATACATTGTATGGATTGTATTGTAGAGTCACCAGAGCGCTCAAACCTATAAAGGTGAGTTTTCCTTAAAGTGAAAGCGGTGAACGTCTCTTTATGAGACTCTCTACACAATCCGACAGCGCTCAAACTATGTATATATATATATATATATACAAAGTGTATATACAATGTGCCCTCCCGGCTATCACCATATTAAAATGGTGACTCCTGCACTTGGGACGCAGGACGTACGGTTCATTATATATATATATATATGTATAAGAAGTTTATATTTGATGATTCTCCGTATAAAACAGTGCTCGATGCCCGAGAACAGAGCGTAAGTTTGTGTAGTTATGTTGAGAAAAAATCACAAAACTACAGATTCATCCCGACAAGCCTGTTTCGTGATTGCTCACTCTTCAGGGGATTTGATGAATAAAGTACTTAAATGCTTAAAATATATATATATGTGTAGTGGTGTTGAAAAAAATCACAAAACTACAGATTCATCCCGACAAGCCTGTTTCGTGATTGCTCACTCTTCAGGGGATTTAATGAATAAAATACTTAAATGCTTAAAATATCCAAATCATCCCTCAATAAACGCAACGAACTTGTTTCCTCTTGTCGCCATAGATCAAAAACACTCCTATGTAATTTGTAACCATACACCGTAATTAAAACTCTAACTTCCGTCATCTAACTTGAAACTATACACCTTGATTAATACACTAACTTCCGTCATCATCTTGTATATATATTTTAAGCATTTAAGTATTTTATTCATTAAATCCCCTGAAGAGTGAGCAATAACGAAACAGGCTTGTCGGGATGAATCTGTAGTTTTGTGATTTTTTTCAACACCACTACACATATTTACGCTCTGCTCTTGGGCATCGAGCACTGTTTTATACGGAAAATCATAAATTATAAACTTCCTATATATATATATATGTATGAGAGACTGATTTATTCCTGACATACGACTTTGTTCACTTCAAAGGCAGGGTTTGCTGAGCATATTTTTTATTAGGGGGCGGGGTTATCGACAGCCAAAGTTAGGTGAAACTGTGAACGAAGGGATTCGAGGGGGGGAAACAGCCCCCAGTCTCCCTGCTCCGCTTTCTTTAAAGTGATCTGCCAACGATCAATAGTTGCTAAGGCAACAAGGTCTAATTCATTAACTTTCATTTTCTTTCCAGCAACAATGTTGGTCTTATTATAGCTGCCTTTCTGCTGTTTGGCATGCCGTTTCTTGCTTCATATTTTGTCGTGTTTGTCGTCCAGGAGCGAACGAACGGTGCAAAACATGTGCAGTTCGTTAGCGGTGTTGATCCCATTAGCTACTGGACTGCTTCGTGGTTGTGGGACATGGTAAATTTCACACCTCTCTGTATCGGCATTGTTATTTTGTTTGCATGTTTTAACGTGCCTGCGTACACAGGTAGGTCGAATTTCCCAAGCTATGACGTAGCTAGCATTTGGTCATGTTATGTAGATTTTTATGTACTCTTTGTAAAAACAGTAAATAATGTTCTGAAATTTACATAGCACAACTGAAAATTGCAGGTTGGATTTCTCATTGTCGTCATGATCGCCAAAACGATTTTCTTGCCTTTGGCGACAAATCCCGAAAAAATTGGAATTATTTGAAACGCCGAATTTGATTCCGCGTTGTCAATTATCTTGCAATAAAACGTCATTTGCCTGATTTTTCAGCCAATCCAAACGCCGTGATCCAATAAAGTTATTTTACAAATTGCTCGAAGATTCCTCGTAGTTGTCGAAATACTTGTTTCTAAGGAGAATGAACTCGACCCAAACCCCTAATCTCTCGGCCTACCAACCAACTTTAAACAATTCCAATGGTTTTTGATGACAAAATTACGTCAAGTTTACGACGTTGAATCTGGTTTGCGGCTGTGAGCCTGTGATAGCAACATACCTTAATACTTAGAATACGATCTTTTACAGAAGTATGTTTGGCAGTGGAGTTAGCTCACAGCATTTATATTTGTCTTTTTAAACACATTTTTCACTTGAAAGTTGGTGGAAGCACAGAATTGCATGTCAAACGTCACATTAAGCTCTCGGTCAACCCTTAAAATTTCCAACAATTCCGTTGAAGTGAGCAACGTTCGGATCTGGTGAATTTTCTCACTTCGCACCATTTCTCAATAACTGATTTTAATTCATTGCAGAAGGCTATCGTCTTGGAATAGTTTTCCTCGTTTTGATGCTTTATGGTTCAGCCATCATCCCGTTTATGTATCTCTTCTCGTTTCTCTTCAAAACGGCGTCGAAAGCTTTCAACTTATTGACGTTGTTGAATTTTGTAACTGGTCCTGTCGCCTTGCTTGTTGTGTTCTACATTCAGAGTCTTGACTACCATTACACTGTTGATGTCCTTAACTGGACTTTTTTGGTACTCCCCAACTTTTGCCTCGGACAGTCGTTCTCCAATATTTTTGAGAATTATAACCGTATCAGACTTTACAATATGTGCATGGAAAAACATGCGCCAGTGATGTGCATGCCTCAGAAAGCGAGGATTCAGACGAATTATTTGGCTTTTGAAAATCCTGGAATTGGTCGATTTCTCTTGGTGTTACCACTTGAAGGAATCTTCTTCATGCTTATTATTCTGTTCATCGACTTCAACGCTATTCGGTCGTTGCGAAGTTCCATTAGATCAGTGTACGTCGATCCGTTTGACAGCAGTCATCCAAACGGCGATACGGAAGATTCCGACGTGATGGCGGAAAAACGACGAGTACTCAACGACGAAGTGAACGAAGACGTGGTTGTAGTGAAGGATCTTACGAAAATATTTAAAGTTCCAGGTAGAGAATTTCTCCTTGCTGTGTTTGTAGATGTGTTGAAAAATATCCTTCTTTTATCAGCCGAAACCATGTCAAAAAAAATTTCGTTTTTTAACACAATATTTTGGAAAGTTACAAAAGATGGCCGCGATGAGTTCATTGTGCTTGATTGAAAAGATAACTTAATAATTTTTTACCACTAGAAAAGTCTTCACATACGAAACGGGCTTTTAAAGTGTCTATGAAACGAAAATTTTGCTTTTTGAATAATGGTTTTGTTGAAATAAACTTTTAAAATGTCACTTTTAGACTTTTTTAGACAGTTTATGTTATATCTATGACATCTTTTTTCACTCTCAAGATACGAGGAACCTGTAATGGCCAATTTTACAACCAGTGTTGTCGCGTTGCATAATGAGAACTTAAATTATAATGTATATTTGCGCAATTTGCATCAGATGGGCAGAGCTCTCTTTGTAGTGATATGTTGTCTGTACAAAAACTCTCTCCAACGGTTGTACTTTCATAATCTGGAGAATGAAAGAAGATTGTCTTGAAAATATACAATACTCTCATTGTCTGGAGAATGAAACGAGATTTTCCTGAAGACTTTTTTAGAAAGTTCACTGTCGTTTTGAAACTTCTATTCAATGAAAATATAAAAGAACAAAGCTCCTTCTTTATTAACACTTTATTTTTTCCCAAAAAAGGTCGTCGAAGATTTGCTGCAGTGGATCACATCAGCTTGGGAATACCTTTAGGTGAATGCTTCGGTCTCCTGGGAGTCAATGGCGCTGGAAAAACTACAATGTTTAAAATGTTAACAGGCGATGTGATTCCAACTTCGGGTACCGCCGTCCTTGACTCTTGGGATATTCAGACTAATTTAAGTCGGGTATGTTTTTATTGTTGTATATGATCAGTAGCGTAGCTAGCCTGCAGATTTACTTCCGCTGTGTAAATTTTTAAAGATTACCATTATTCATGTCTTTAGAAATCTATTTTCCTCACTGTCAGTAAATACAAAAATATTAGGAAAGCGGAAGTAAAAAGTCGGGTTGGCTACGCTACTGTATATGATCTGTTCGACCTTTCCCGCTTTAACTTAAATTGAAGAATCATGTAAAGACCATTGAACCAAATTTACAATTGGATGGGTACTTGACGTTCCGTTGTATATTTATTTCAATTATCTGTCCGCGAACTGTAAACATGCTAACCTCGTACCAAGGCGCTTTGATTCCCTGAATCATTTGTGCGAAAAGTGCAGCGCGGGACGACATATGCGAATAAAAATGAGAAAATCGCGGCTGGTAACGCTTGCTACAGCCACGCTAACGCGCGCCCACACACGCCACGTGACATTCAATTTATTAATCATCAAATAATTCAAAGCGCCTGGCTACGAGGCTGATCCGACATCAAGATTTTAAAGCAGTAATTCATCCTTAAGGAGACATAAACGCCATTTAAAGGAATTTCATGCTTGGAATTTAGGATGTAAATTAAATGAAATTCGTAGTTAGTTTTGTTAGTTTAGCCATCGTACTAGTCTCAAACTAGTCATTACTACGTCACTTTGGAAAGAGTTGACCAGGCAATGGTATGCATGTAGGCATTGAAAAGGCTGTTATGCAAATTACAGGTTTGCAGATTTTTCAACACCGTAAATACCATTGAAATGGTGCATACAAAGAAAACATACTGTGGTATGTCACTACTCCTCTGTGAGTAAACAACAACACAATTTTTGCCATTTTTCATGACATCTACATTGTAAATAAAGAAAATCTTCGTTGAAATCACCCAACTTGGCGCGGTCATGACGTTAATGCATGCCAGGAACAGGCAAATATTTTTGACCGCGCCGATGTTATTTTCTAGTGGTAAATTTCTCTTGCAATATTTAGTGTTGACGTTGCAATGCCTGTAATATTTCTGTTGCAATGTTTAGTGTTGCTCATTTACGAAGTGGAGCTTCGCATGTAATTGTTCAATGATATTACGACGCAAAACAAGTTGTAACCAGCCATAAATAAAAGCCAAGCGAATTACATTTGACGTTCAAAGATCGAGCAACTAACCCTTACTTACATAACAAATAATTTCTTACTTGTTTATAAATGAACTCCCTTTTCAGTTGTTGCTTGTTGTCGGCCACCTTGTACGTAATTGGTCAAATATATTTCAGTTCCTCTGCAGAACAACCTTGTAAAATATAAACGTTTCAATGCTCCGTTGTATTGTCCGCCATTTTGGTTCTTCTTCCACAATGCACACCGTCCAACGAAACCACATTATGTAGCGAAATACAGCCTCAGCACAGTATGAGGAATATATCCAAGATAACTTTATTGACATTTTTTGTGCCACCCGTATTATTACCACAGTGTAGTGGCTCAACAGGATGTTTTGAAAAAACTACTCGTCTTTGAAATCAGCCGACGTTCAGACTTTGCATGATTCAGCAGTAATTGATCCCCAAAGACCTGTAAACGCAATTGAAGACAATAATACATACGAATCGCGGCTACAGTTCGTTGCAAATTTCAAGCATAAAATTTATTTCAATTGCCGTTACGCCTTAGTTGCGGATCATTTACTCCTGAAACAGGCAAAGTGGAAACGTCGGCTAGTTTTAACTGCGTAGAGAAAAAACCTTCTTTATGTTCGTTATTCTGTATCTAATGCATAGAAAACAAACATTAATACCATTTGGTTGGGCAACTTGGTGCTGTATATTTAGTACCGACTGTGGTCAACCATCGATAGTTGGGGGGGAAAGTATTGATATATGTATATATGATTATGGCCCTCCCCCCGAAACCTTCCTACGTTTGCATCATTGTGTCAACAACAAATACTTCAATCGGTGAAAATTGCCTTTGTACACGTTATTTTCATGACTTAGTATGTTCCATTTTTAAAATTTCCGTATTGGGGTAGCTTGATGCAAACACGAGCATCGACCAATCAGAGCACGCGTTATACATGTTATTTTGTAAATGAAAATTATAATTTTAAATGTAAATTATGTTGTTTACCAAGGTTCGTCAACGAACAGGCTATTGTCCACAATTTGATGCTTTGATCGATTTTTTGACGGGACGGGAGATGTTGCAAATGTATGCTGCACTTCGTGGAGTTCCCAATCATGTGATCAATCCATTGATCGAAGATTTAATGAGATCAGTGTTGCTAACGGAACACGCTGATATGTTAACTAAAACATACAGGTATAATAGAAGAAAACGTCGTCTACTTTGAAATAGAATGGTGTACTATAAATGCTCACCCGAGGTTTTGCCATTTATATATTCATTTTGGTTTATTTGACGTTGAAACCTGAGTATGTATATACTCCTGTGTAGTTTCTTCATGAGGAGTGATCTGTTGTGCAACTTTACTCCTTATATACTCTAGTTCAGTGTCTTTATCAGGAGTAATCTGATGTTGAAACTTTAGTTCTTGTATACTCCAGTCTAGTGTCTTCATCAGGAGTGATCTGATGTTGAAACTTTAGTTCTTATATAGTCCAGTCTAGTGTCTTTATCAGGAGTGATCTGATGTTGAAACTTTAGTTCTTATATACTCCAGTCTAGTGTCTTTATCAGGAGTGATCTTTTGTTGAAATTTAGTTCTTATATACTCCACTCTAGTATCTTCATCAGGAGTGATCTTTTGTTGAAACTTTAGATCTTATATACTCCAGTCTAGTATCTTCATCAGGAGTGATTTTATGTGGAAATTATGCATGTGACGCGTCGAAAATCTGCCATCTTTTTATAGCAATCCCAGGCTGCTTAGATCACGAATACAAAGATTACCTTTTCTTTTTACAGTGGTGGAAACAAACGCAAACTAAGTACAGCGATAGCTTTGATTGGCGATCCACTCATAGTTTTTCTCGACGAACCAACAACTGGAATGGATCCTGTTGCAAGACGACTGTTGTGGAACACTTTATGTAGAGTCAGAGCCGAAGGTATGAAACTGGTGATGAAGCGGGTTTCCTTCCAGGGGGGAGATGTGTTGAAGAATGCAATTACATGCAGTTCATACCCGCCTAATATGAGCGCCATTTTGGTTAATATTAAAAAATGTCAGAGTTAGCGTTTTTAATTATACTTTATTTTACTTCATCCTTTAAACATTGTTAGCAAATTTAAAAAACTAAAGAACTGAAATAACATTAACTTTACAACTTAAATACTTTATAAAAAACACTTGAGAAAAACGACGATTTTTTTGAAAGCAAACATGTTTCGACATTATCAGAATGCCATCTTCAGTGCAGAATGGTTAGTGTTAAGTAATATGATACGTAATATGATATGAATAAATTAATTACAATGAATAGGATTATGATTTAGTTACAAAATTATAAAATATTTACAAAAAAGAAAAAGAAAAATAAGTATTAAGAACTTATAACAAAAAATATTATTATAAAGTAAATATAGTGTTGTAGTGGTGAACTTGGATATTTAAATCGGGATTAGTTTTATTAATGTGTAGAGCTTCCTTGATTTTGAGTGAGAAAGTGGATTGATCAGTGTCGATGATTTTAAAACAGGAAGGTGAGAATTTGTTTTACATGAAGGAGAGGCTTGAAGATGTTTGTAGATAGTGGAGTTTTGTCTGTGTGAGTATGTTCCTTTATCCTGGTAGATAATTGGCGAGAAGTTTCACCAATATAGGAATTACATCCCGCACATGAAAATTGATAAACTACCATAGATTTGGAAAGTTCGGGAAGTGGGTCTTTAAACGAAAATAAAGATTTTATTTTAAAGGTGTGAAAATAAGTTTAACGTCAATGTCAGTGCAGTAGCGTTTAATGATTTGTGTGAGTTTGCGTTGTGTGTGTCGTGAGTAATCACCTATGTAAGGTAGTTTGAAATAACGTTTATTGTCAGGTTGTTGTATATCGTTAGTGTTAGTTGTGGAGTTAGATGAGTCAGTGCTTTTCTTGTTGTCCAAATAGTGTTGTATAGTGTTGTTGATGAAATGAAAAGGAAAAGAATTACGTTGGAGAGTGAATATTAGTTTCTTTAAATCACGTTGAAAGCCGATGTCTGTGTTGTTAAGTTTCCGTGCTCTGTCGGTCAGTGTTCGTATCAGTCCAATTTTGTAATTTAATGGTGTGAAACTAAAAAAGTTAGTCAGTAGTCCTGTATATGTTGGTTTGTGGTACGTAGAGGTCATACAGTTTTCATGTGATTTAGTTAGTAAGATGTCAAGAAAGGGTAACTGATTGTCTTGTTCGGTTTCGTATGTAAAGTTTATGCTTTGATGTTGTTTGTTGATGTATTCGTAAAAGAGTAATGCTTCGTCTTTGTTATGAAAAATACAAAAAATGTCGTCAACGTATCTGCGGTAAAATAAAGGTTTGTTGTTGCTGTAGTTATTTAACCAGTTTCGTTCGTGAAAACCCATGAAAATGTTGGCTAGAATGGGTGCCAAGGGTGAGCCCATACTTACCCCGTCAATTTGGTCGTAGTACTTACCGTTAAATAAAAAATGAGTCTCGGCCGGAGTGATGTTAAACAATAGTTTTAGTTCTGTTCTGTTCATTTTGAATGTAGGATTGTTGGTAAAAATTAAATCAATAGCAATGTCTATGGTTTCGGTCAGTGGTATGTTGGTAAAAAGGCTTTCAACGTCAAAAGAAATAAAGAATTTGTCATGTGGAGCGTTAGTGTTAAAAGATAAAAAATCATCGACAAAACTAAAAGAATCTTTAGCAGAATGGTCATTAGGTATTAGGGGTTGGAGTAAAGAGCTGAGGTATTTGGCTAATTTGTAGTTATACGAATTGATTGAAGAAATTATAGGTATGCTAATTAGAAATTATGGTAATATTATCTACGACTTAGCACAAAATTATCATGGATAGGTTTCCTTGTCGGATTTTCGAAATTATGAAAGGCTTACAACTAAGAAACGCAAGGCTGAACTTGATGTCGCCTTCCTTAAAGATTGCAATTCACTTGGAGTTTTTCCAAAGTTCCTGTGTTTTCCACTGCCTAATGTTGACAATCGAGATACATACCACATTCGAAAGCGTTTACTACGAACTACGATAACGAAGAGATCTAAAGAACTACGGACACTGGATAGGGACCTGACGAACAAAACAGAAGAAATCAAAAGCTTTCTTAACCCAATTGACTGGCATATCTTGAATAAAGCCCTCAAAAAGAATGTCGACAAACAACTAAACAAAATATTTTCGACACACCGTAAGAAACTAAATAATTTGACCAAAAACAAGGCTATACCATTCACTCATAAAGACACTGTCAACAACCTATCATCTGTGAAGCTAAGTAAAGATGAACTTAACGCTCTAAAAAACGGTCTCAACTTCAGCATCAAACCTCCAAAAATCCACTCCTCCGACATTCTGGCAACATTCGAACGAATCAACTATTCATTAAGAAATAAACTTATCAAACAAGAGGACTATTCAATACTAAAAACGGAACTTTGTCACTTGGCACACACGTACGTAACATCCTACCATCCAACTCCTAAAGACCTGAAGAAACATAAAATTCTAAGGAACATTCGTAATAATGACAAAATCATTGTTCTTAAACCTGACAAAGGCAATGGTGTAGTCATTATGGATCGTCAGGTATACATTAACTCTTGCCTCACTATAATTAACAATTTATCTAAGTTCAAACCACTCGATCATGATCCTACAATTTCCCGTGAAGCAAAGTTACAACGACTGCTACGTAACTTAAAGAAAAAGAACTCGATTAACGAAAAATCATTTCAAGAAATGTACCCTAGAGGTTCACAGCCACCTCGATTATATGGTTTACCTAAACTTCATAAATTAAACAATATCAATGACATACCTCCTATCAGACCTATAATTTCTTCAATCAATTCGTATAACTACAAATTAGCCAAATACCTCAGCTCTTTACTCCAACCCCTAATACCTAATGACCATTCTGCTAAAGATTCTTTTAGTTTTGTCGATGATTTTTTATCTTTTAACACTAACGCTCCACATGACAAATTCTTTATTTCTTTTGACGTTGAAAGCCTTTTTACCAACATACCACTGACCGAAACCATAGACATTGCTATTGATTTAATTTTTACCAACAATCCTACATTCAAAATGAACAGAACAGAACTAAAACTATTGTTTAACATCACTCCGGCCGAGACTCATTTTTTATTTAACGGTAAGTACTACGACCAAATTGACGGGGTAAGTATGGGCTCACCCTTGGCACCCATTCTAGCCAACATTTTCATGGGTTTTCACGAACGAAACTGGTTAAATAACTACAGCAACAACAAACCTTTATTTTACCGCAGATACGTTGACGACATTTTTTGTATTTTTCATAACAAAGACGAAGCATTACTCTTTTACGAATACATCAACAAACAACATCAAAGCATAAACTTTACATACGAAACCGAACAAGACAATCAGTTACCCTTTCTTGACATCTTACTAACTAAATCACATGAAAACTGTATGACCTCTACGTACCACAAACCAACATATACAGGACTACTGACTAACTTTTTTTAGTTTCACACCATTAAATTACAAAATTGGACTGATACGAACACTGACCGACAGAGCACGGAAACTTAACAACACAGACATCGGCTTTCAACGTGATTTAAAGAAACTAATATTCACTCTCCAACGTAATTCTTTTCCTTTTCATTTCATCAACAACACTATACAACACTATTTGGACAACAAGAAAAGCACTGACTCATCTAACTCCACAACTAACACTAACGATATACAACAACCTGACAATAAACGTTATTTCAAACTACCTTACATAGGTGATTACTCACGACACACACAACGCAAACTCACACAAATCATTAAACGCTACTGCACTGACATTGACGTTAAACTTATTTTCACACCTTTTAAAATAAAATCTTTATTTTCGTTTAAAGACCCACTTCCCGAACTTTCCAAATCTATGGTAGTTTATCAATTTTCATGTGCGGGATGTAATTCCCGCTATATTGGTGAAACTTCTCGCCAATTATCTACCAGGATAAAGGAACATACTCACACAGACAAAAACTCCACTATCTACAAACATCTTCAAGCCTCTCCTTCATGTAAAAAACAAATTCTCACCTTCCTGTTTTAAAATCATCGACACTGATCAATCCACTTTCTCACTCAAAATCAAGGAAGCTCTACACATTAATAAAACTAATCCCGATTTAAATATCCAAGTTCACCACTACAACACTATATTTACTTTATAATAATATTTTTTGTTATAAGTTCTTAATACTTATTTTTCTTTTTCTTTTTTTGTAAATATTTTATAATTTTGTAACTAAATCATAATCCTATTCATTGTAATTAATTTATTCATATCATATTACGTATCATATTACTTAACACTAACCATTCTGCACTGAAGATGGCATTCTGATAATGTCGAAACATGTTTGCTTTCAAAAAAATCGTCGTTTTTCTCAAGTGTTTTTTAAAATTGCTGCTAATTAGAAATTATGGTTAGCAAATTTCATTTTCTGAACAACGGCAGTATCAACGTAACATGAATGGCTTTTCAGATAGGTTGAATCAAACAATAGCGATGAACGCTAACTATATCGATGATATTGATAGATACTGAGCTTATTGACTTAAACAGGGCTCCCGCTACTCCTTTAACTCTTTGAAAAGCTCTTGAATCTTAATGTCTCTTTAATGTATTTGAAAAGCCCTTGAAGAAAGACAAAATTCCAACACCCCTTGAAAACTACTTTAGTTTTGATTTTGTAATCGTATTTTTCATCTTTTCAAGTAAAAATAGTAATAATTTGGGCAATTACTAAGCGTATTCTTTGCCTTAATTTGCGAGTTTATAACGATAGTAATGAAGTCACAATTAAGTGTCTAACCTTTGCGCATTTTGTCTGTGTCTTATCTATGCGTATATGTCAGTTAAATTTATTACCTGAAAATGCATATTACGCATGCTGAGTACGACAGAAATGCCATCAAATAAATTTGAATTTGGTCTTTGAAAATCGATCTTTTTCTCCTTGAAAAGCCTTTTAAAAATATATCTGTGACGACCCATGAAAACGCTCTATGTATAGAAACTTTACGTATGTTATGACGTCATAAACTATAATATGACGTCATCACAAGTAAATGGAACTCAAATAAATTTACATTAATACGTTTATCACGTGACTATGATTAAGAAAGGTTTGCCTTGTGCTCAATTTCTCGCAAGTGCAATTAAGTGCCAGTTACAAAAAAACCGTTATTAGTAATCAGTTTGTCCCCTCCTCTCTCCACTTATGTCGATGCCTTATGATTGGTAATCATTTTGTTCCCTCCTCTCTCCCCTTAGGTCGATGCCTGATGATTACGTCACATAGTATGGAAGAATGCGAGGCGTTGTGTACTCGGTTAGCAATCATGGCAAATGGCAAATTGCGCTTTCTTGGTAGCCCGCAACACCTGAAGAACAAATTCGTTCAAGGATTCACTTTGTTGGTAAACCCTCCAAGTGACACGCCCAGTAATGACACGACCTTGGTAAAAGAATTCGTGGCAGAGACGTTCCCAGGTAGTGTACTTCGAAACGAGCACAGTGGCTGGTTGAATTACCACATAGGCGACTCAAAAAGCTCTTGGTCTTCCCTGTTTGCGATCTTAGAAGATGCGCACAGCCGTTCTGTTATCGGTAATTATTCTATAAAGCAAACCACACTGGATGAGATATTTTTAAATTTTGCTCTCTCACAGGGAGGCTACGACGATTAGATGGTCGATTAATATTGTCATACATGGGGCACTGTGACCATTTATTTTGAATTATAACGAAATCTTTTTATCGTGTTAATGATTGTTTTGTTGATTTTAATTTTTTCAATCGCGCCTTGTATACGCCAATAAATGTTGCATACACCAAAAAGAATTACCCGAATGAAGTAAGCACGATGCAGACCTAGAACCCAGTCTACTAGATACCTGACTCCGCCAAAATTTGTAGTTACGAGTTTGGCAAGCCGCCATCTTGAAAGGTGGCAAAATTGACGATATTTACGAGTAAAATATGCATTTTTTGCATTGAAACGCAGTTGCAGAATTGATAGTATAGGTTTGGTTTTTAAAAATTTTTTTTAAATTTTCAGCTTATTTTTGATTGAGAGTGTTGGTTTTTGCCACCATTCAAGATGGCGTCCTTGTCTCAGGATGTCACGTTCACATCTTGGGGATTGGGTTCTAAATCATTGAGTATGACGTTATCAAATAATGTCAAGAAACATGCCAGGCTCTCTCACGTGACATATTCCAGAGCGAACTCGGGGGGCATTCAAAAAACACACTGCGATTCTTCAATTGTAAAACTGTTATATATTTCATAAAATATTTTATAAAACATTAACATGCCTTGTTACATGAGCGAAAATGTTTACAAATCAACAATTGTATGGTTTATCAATGAAAAGTGAATAAATTTCTGCGGTTATAAATATAAAATTTGTGTGTGGTATTTATCATAAACACGGCTCTTTTCCTATACGACAGTACAATAATTTACATGCATTTTGCAACATGAACTATTGTCGCTACTGTATATTTGGCGACTTGGTTTATTGAATATAAGTCTGAAGGCATTTGACTTTTAGGTGCATCATGTACAAAAATATAGATTTATATATATATAAAGATTAATTTAAAGATTAATATAATTTATATGTTATGAAAATTTTTGACTTATTCTGGATAACGAACTTTGTTGAGATTTTTTTCTTTCCAAATCTTCGCTCAACGTAATTGCTGGAAAGAGATTATTAAAACACGGTTATGCGATTGTCCAGTTGGCAAAACCTCAAGCAATAACTGCCTCGATATATATTTAGTCAGTTATCATGAAATAAGTGTGAATATAATGAGAACAACGCGTGAACTTATCGTGAAACACGCGGGAGTTTAACCTTTAACTTACATGAAATTATCTCCTTACTACAACCGCTATAATTTATTAAACGCCCGAGGCGTTTTTTGGACCATTCACGGTATGCAAATAAATATGCCACACGGACTACGACAATGTCTTTGTTATTTTTAATGACGTAATAGGGTCAGGAAAATCAATATGCAGTTTTCCATGTCAAGAGGGTGATGCTACAATTTACATTAACTCAGTAGGTTTTTAACAAATTACAATCTGAGTAAGCATGTCGGAAATTCACAAGAGAAAAATATTCTTACAAACCTTTTCTATCTTCTTCCGTTAATGACGTTGATACTATTTTCTTCAAGTCTTTAACCCACTCTTCGCGTTCGTCCTCCGTGCCAGCACTAAATTCGTAAACTCGATCTGGTGTGAATCGAAAAGCCGTAGCCGAGCGGGGCCTCGTATTCGTTAAAACCCGAGGTGACGTCATAACCTTTCGTGCCTAATACAAATAAAGGGATGAGATAGGAAAGAAGGATAAGCATAGAGGGATGAGATAGGGAAGAAAGATGAGCATGGAGGTATGAGATAGGGAAGAAAGATGAGCAGAAATGGGGAAGTGAAACAGAGAAGATGTTAGTGTAAGTAGTAAAGAAAGAAGACAATATTATTTTACATTCTTTTATATGTGAGGTTGTACATCTTAACGATTTAAAAGTTGTATGAATTTGTGTTGGACAATAAAATATGAGCAGTTGAGGAGTATTTGGGTTCGTAGTCAAATTACCTATGCGAATAAAAATAGCTTTAGGTAATATATAAAAATACTATATTACATCGCCTAAAGCGACAATGGCGATCATTCTCCATACCCTTGGTCCTCGTTTTGAAACACTTCCTTCACGAACAAAATCTTTCGTCGTTATCTTTACCAACTAAAAATGTATATTAAGTATGAGACGTCAAAACTCAAGAAAATTACCATAAAAAAATTAACCTCTTTTTCATCGACATCGACATTGCCAGCTTTCAACATTTTCAATTTAGCATAGCGTATTGTCATGTACCATTTGACTATTTCTTATTATAGCGAAAATGTAAAGAATGTTAAATTATATATTAATTTATTGTAGACAGCTTTTAAAATATCAGAACATTCCTTTAAACAATTTTTAAGCCTATCTTTTGTTATTCAACAGATGTTGAAGTTTTGTTATTTCCAACCAGTATGACCATATATGCAATTTTTTCACTAGATTTGTCGTGATGAGCTTAGACTCTCCCACCTGCTTTAAATAGTGGCAAAGCTCAGAACAGGAGGGGTGTTACGCTCAATTGATCAGATACGGTTAGAAAATTTGCATATGTGGTCAAACTTTGTCAATCTTACATATAAGACGTCACGCAAAATTTGAATTTTATCAAACATGAACTATTTTTTGCAACCGAATAGGTTAAATTGCAAAAATCAGACAGATAAACTTTAACTACCTAATTTTTATACTTATAATCATAACAAAAAAACAATTAAAAACTAATATCTAGTAACAATTACTTCATGTAATGCTTTGTGGTAAAAAGGAATTTTTAAAAAATTCAGTCACGCAACAAAAATGTTGGTAAGATCCACAGCTTCGTACGACGATAAGTCTTTTTGGCAAAAGTTCATGGTGTTTAGGATTATATTATTGTTCGTACATTTTTTTTCAAATGTAATTTTTTTAGTAATTTATTTCACATTGCATAAAGAATTTGAACGAATAGGTATATTTGCTGATGTGGTACTTATGGTGGCTGACTTCCCACTGTTGTTGTAGGTATAAATTCCGCCCAAACATTTCTCGCAAATCTAGCCATATTACCGAAAAAAAATTGAAAATTTTTAGCCACTCATCATGCGTGGTATAAAACGCCATTGATAATGTAAATCTGAAATTCAATCTCAACATCTGATCTGAAAATAAAATAAGAAACAAAATCTTAACATTTGTGAGTTAGCCGTTAAAAAATTTACATTTTAAAACGTTAGTTCGATAAATAAGTACATAATCTAAGCATAAACACATTCGTTTCATTTTAGTTTACAATAAAAATACCATAAATGAATTGCAAGGTCTTATGACACTAACCAAATTGAATTATGCACGAATGCCGAGTAGCAAAAAAAAATTAAAGTATGCGCTAGGGGAGGAAGTCACATCTGTTGAAAATAAGTCTAAAAACTTTCATAAGTAAGGTAAAGTGTACTAAATTACTTTATACCTTATATCCTAACGATAACCCTAACTCTAAGCCTAACACATACTCCAACCATACCTGGCCTATATTTACAGCTATTAATACACCCCTATATACACCCAATCCCTAATCCAAATCCAAAGCCTAGCGTTAACCATACCTGGCCTGTATCAGCAGCTATGAATATATTCCTCTATATACCACTACCCTTATCCAAATCCTAAGCCTAGCGCTAACAATACGTTACCTTGCCTGTATCCGCCGTAATGAACAAACTTTAAGCTGTGGTAAAAATGGTAAATGTTATTGATTACGATATTAATGAAAGTAAAGGATTGCGACAAGGTTTTAGATGATAGACTTGAGAGTAAGCTGTGGTAAAAGTGGTAATTGTTTATTGTTTAGTATTGACTAATTTTTAGAAAATGCTGATTTGTGGTTTTCATTTTACCAACACTGAATAGTTGTTTTTTTCTTCATGGTGTTTCAAGTCAAACTTTTTCTTTTGTACGTCATCTAGCGGATGCAATAAACGCTTCAGTAAGTACAGTGAATGATGAAGACACATTATATGGACGCAACAACAGCATGATGCCAATAACAAACACAACAAAGCCACAGTTAAACTACGGAATAACCTTGTTTCTGCAGAGGTGGTGTGCTATGTTCAAGAAACGCTTTCTTCATTCGTGTCGACATAAGATAGCCATAATTCCTCAGCTTCTCCTGCCTCTTATTTACACAATGTTTGCTCTGATTGTCGTTGACACGATTCTTAAGCCCGAGGACTCTCCTCCCAGAATTTTTATGACAGCTTTGTTTTATGATAAAATTGCACCTTACGCAATTGTTGGAAACCCGAACAGGTAGATTATTGAACTTAAATATAACTGGACGGCTACTTCACACCAAAATTTGAAGCCAGCAATTAAACTAGTCCCCATCTTTCCACGCACAGCCCAGAGAAACAGGCATGTTAATGTATAAAAAGTAGCCTTCCAGTTGTATATTTAATCAAATGGGTGGATAATAGAAATTTTTCGTTGACAAATACTATGAAATGGTTTCGAGAAACAAATTTCCAAAACTCTTCTTATAAAACAGCAAACCTCAACTAAAATCTCAAAAATTACAACTCATTTTGCTTTGAAAACTGCTAAAATTTTACATATTATTTCTTACTAAGTTCTGGTAAAGTGTGTTTGTGACTTGTTCGATTTAAATACTTGGAACTGTTCGTGTTTTTAAACCAGAGCTGTTCAATTTTATTTGGTTAAATTGTTTAGATTTTAAGGAAGAAATGTTTGAATTTTCTTATGGTAAACTACTTAACATGGTTAATCACTTGGTTTTAAAAAATGGAGACTTAGAAATTAATCTATTATTTTACTTTCAATGCCCCATCACTCTGCTAAAGCCTCTTCAGGATAAGTAAATATAATCAGCGACGTGCTTTTGTTTCATGTTTTTGTTACAAGAACAAAACTGTTTTCGTTTTCTGGGCATTAAACTAAACTTCTCGCAGCAAAACAAGCTGAATAATGCGCGCCCGGATTTAAAATCCCGATCAGACATTAAAATTTGATGTAAGCGTAAATAAATCTTTTTCAGGGAGATAAATGATCTGGTTAAAATGTACACACACTCGGCAAGCTCGTACACTAAGTTCGTTGATATCGACAAAGATAGTGCTTTCCGTGATGGGAACATGACCAAATATTTGTTAGAAAAAGCCAAAGGAAGAAACATTGGATACTTCAACAGACGTTATCTGGTTGCAGCGACATTTACTGAAGCAAATAAAAAAGGTATTGCTTGCTCGTGTAGCTACATTGTTTTCACCCTCTCTGAAGGTTTGTAACTATGATGGGGGAATAGTTCTAATCAATATCTGTCAATTTATGCTTTTTTAATGAGTTCAAATTGTTGTAATGAGATTAGTGTGACTTGTCAGTCGATAACAGGGAATAAGACTTGTCAATCGAGGAAAGGTCTGTAGATAAAGAAAGTATCAAGGACGTTTATGTAGATCGAGGAGTAATTTCTACATCAAAAAAAGATGAAGGAAAGATTTATTTGTAGATCGACGAAGAATCTGTAGATCAAGAAGGATTTTTTAATCAAAGAAGGATCAGTACATCAATGAAGGAGCTGTAGATCATAGAAGGATAGGAAGATCAAGGAAGGATCTGTAGATGAAGGAAGGATCTGTGATCAAGGAAGGATCTGTTGATCAAAGAAGGATCTGTAGATAAAGGAAGGATCTGTAGATGAAAGAAGGATCTGTAGATAAAGGAAGGAACTATCTGTAGATCGACGAAGAATGTTTAGATTAAGAAGGAGTTATTAATTAAGGAAGTATCTGTAGATGAAGGAAGCATCTGTGATCAAGGAAGGATCTGTAGATCAAGGAAGGATCTGTAGATAAAGAAAAGATCTGTAGATAAAGGAAGGATCTGTAAATGAAGGAAGGATCTGTAGATGAAGGCAGGATCTGTATATCAAAGAAGGATCTGTAGATCAAGGAAGGATCTGTAGATAAAGGAAGGATCTGTAGATGAAGGATCTGTAGATAAAGGAAGAATCTGTAGGTGAAGGAAGGATCTGTATATCAAAGAAGGATCTGTAGATGAAGGAAGGATCTGTAGATAAAGGATCTGTAGATGAAGGAAGGATTGGTTAATCAAAAAAGAATTTGTAGATGAAGGAAGGATCTGTAAATGAAGAAACGAGCTATAGATCTATAGAAAACATAAATATGAGGTAGATCAGCAAGAATCTTGGCTAATTTAAGGTAATTTATGTGTGTTCTTATTTAGCAATAGCCAAGGCTTGGTTCAACGATCAAGCTTATCATGCGATAGCGGTGGCACTGAGTGCAGTGGACAACGCCATTTAGAAAAACAGTTCCGGGAATAAAAACAAATTAATCACAGTGACAAATCATCCTTTGCCGAGAACTACGGAGCAAAAATCAAATGATTTAGATGAGTATGTTATTTTTTGCTTTCGAGCTTTTCCCAAACTTTCACAACAAGCGTTTCTATAACTATATAGGGACAAGTAAATATGTTTTGTATATTCTTAATGAATTTCGTTTTAATAAAACATTATTCACTGTTAAATTTCCAGCGAAAACCACGCAATCTGAGAAAAAAAACAACGATTTTTTGAGTATTCAACCAATCAGCGCCCGTGTTTTTATGTTATCAGGTATTGTTTTTTAGTCTCTCAAATTTCTATTGAAATTTATATGTATGTATTATGAATTGATATATATTAACAGTACATTCTGTGTCCCATGTGCAGGAATCACCATTGCACTATTGTTATAATATATACAGCTTGTACAACAATGTGCCCTCCCGGCTATCACCACAGTGCAATGGTGACTCCTTAACTTGGGACACAGGATGTACGGTGTATATTTGTATATATAAAGTGTATAACAATGTGCCCTCCCCGGCTATCACCATAGTAAATCGGTATTTCCTGCACTTGGGACACAGGATGTACGATTATACATTGTTCAAGCGAAAGCGGTGAACGTCTCTTTTTGAGACTCTCTACACAATCCGACAGCGCTCAAAATATATTTATATAACTCACTGCAATACAGAAGAAGCCAAGAAGAATGAACGCAACTACTTATACTCTACATTCATAAACAACAATTACCCACGAAACTTTATCAACAAAGTATTAAACAAAATACACAACAAACCACAAGCTGAAAAAACCTAACGAAGATACAGACGAACCAGTAAAAATAGTTACATTACCATATATAAAACGGAACATCAGAAATGACATCAAGACTACTCCGACCATTCAAAATAAACATTGCACATAAACCAACACACAAACTGAAGTCATACTTCACTAAACATAAAGACCGAACAACCACATTTGACACAACCAACGCGATCTACATGATACCATGTAAAGATTGCCCCAAACAGTACATAGGACAAACATCCAAGAAAATTGAAACAAGACTCACTGAACACAAGAATGCCATCAAACGATGCGACACAAAATCACTACCAGCAGAACATACATACGATACCAACCACACATTTGACTGGACAAGAACACAGCTTGGACGCGCACAGATAAAACACGCACGAGAATTCAAAGAGGCATGGTACAGCAAGGACAACAACACAATAAACAGACATATTGACATCCCCATCATCTATTCACAACTAAAGACAAAACCAAAACAACAAACTAATCACACAACGACTAAAATAAAACACTCGAATTTCATTAACGCAATTTATACACCCGAAACCATGACAACGCATCTTATACCATCCAATAATGTCAACTCAACTACTAACCAACCAATCAGACGCTCCAAACGCCTACAAAATCTTTGTAAATAATATATTCTTACAGGGTGTAGATAAAAAGCGGGCGCGGACGACGGACGCAGACGACGGACTCGGACGGCGGACGCAGATGTAAGACGAACGTCTGTTTGTTGTGGTCGGGAATTGCAAATGATTTATTGTGGGAGTTTGACAGTAATTTAAACGAGCTTTATCTTTCAAGATATATTTTTTGATCTCATTATTTAAAGCAATTAAACATGCATATTTCAATTTCAGTCAGTCATATAGAGTGTAACGCAATGAAACCTCATTGTATTTTTTTCGTGTTTTGTCAATGGCATTTCACTCATGTTTGCCTTACTTGGGTGAGCCTGTTCATATTTATTGCACTGAAATGATTTCCGTCAACTTGTCATTTGGCAAGCAGCACGTATATTGCTGTTTTCAACTTGAACGTCCTTTTGAAAGCTGAGGTTTGAAGCCGTTGCAAGTTAGTCAGTGCGTCATTTATAGTCATGTTTGCTGTAGCTATATGACAACTTTTGATGAATATTAGCCAAACGCATTCAAAAAGCGTTATGATATTTTCCGTCGTAATTTCCGTATAACTTAGAGTCAAATTTAAAATTCTGTTTCACTGCATTCTTTCAGTCATAGCAATAGAAATATCGTCGCTAGGTTAGTTTTCCTTTAATATTTCTAAAGAGCTATATACAAGTTCTTTGTTTATTTGCTTGAATCTTTCTTTTTGCAATGCGTGAGAAACTATAACGCTAGTGATTCATCTATAAAAGAAGGATTGTCTCATGTTTTTCAATATAACTACCGTTCGTATCTAAGGATGCGAGTAATTATTTCTATCACATAGAATTACCTCAGTGACTTAAAGTTAAAACGAATTGTGTTAAAGAAATGTGGAGCAGCAGAGAAGTGGGACCTCAACAAATATTCTTATCTTATTTTAAAAAGGAAATTACCTGTAGGACATTCTTTGCATAAGTGCATGCAAAGCTTTTACTTACTTATGGTTTCAATTAATACTTATTTTCTTTATCGTATGATTTGAGTCATATAAGATTGACTTTTTTTAAAATTGGAAAAGCAAGGCTCACCCACGTAGGGCAAACATGAGTGAAATGCCATTGACAAAACACGAAAAAAATACAATAAGGTTTCATTGCGTCACACTCTATATGACTGACTGAAATTGAAATATGCATGTTTAATTGCTTTAAATAATGAAGTCAAAAAATATATCCTGAAAGATAAAGCTCGTTTAAATTACTGTCAAACTCCTACAATAAATCATTTGCAATTCCCGCACACAACAAACAGACGTTCGTCTTACATCTGCGTCCGCCTCCGCGTCCGTCGTCTGCGTCCGCCGTCCGCGTCCGTCGTCCGCGTCCGTCGTCCGCGTCCGTCGTCCGCGCCCGCTTTTTATCTACACCCATTCTTACATTCTGACGAAGGCTCGAAGCACCGAGTTGAAAGCTTAATAAAAATTTCAAAATAAAAAATCCAGAAAATCCTTATTATAATAATATGCCTGGGTTACCAATTTTCAAATATATATATATATATATATACATTGTTATACACTTTGTATATATATATATATATATATACATTGTTATACACTTTATATATATATATATATATATATATATATATATATATATATATATATATATATTATTACGGATAATATTCCTGGATAAAAGCTCAATACTCTATATATTAGAAGAGCGTAAGATAAAATGAACTAAAATAAAATGGACAATTGTTTGCTGTCGCTACTCGAGTTTCACGCCGTAGGGCGATCTTCAGGCAACTGACAGATTATATATTATTTGCTGACTATATACATCGACTAAAAGGTGTTAAGTTACATGACGGCATGCACTAAACATATCGGAACGCTTATTTAAAATGTTCTTTTACGTCCTTTCAGGATAAGTAGCCTTTCTTCAAGGCAAAGACGGCAGGTTCTTTGGTTTTTGTTCGGGGGTGGAAGTTGTTTGATGAAGTCCCATTTAATGTTGTAGTTACATTTGTTTTCTTTCAGTGTCCACGTGTATTTAGAAAGTTCTGTCTCGTTCCGGTATTTAATGTTCGTAATTGATTTAATGTGGTTTCGATATCGTGTCTTAAAGCGCATGCAGTAACACCTATGTAAGTTTTTGTTTCGTTGTTGTCAGTCGTTGTCACGTCGGCTTTGTAAATCACGTTGGGTTTCAGGCAATTGCCATTTGTCGGGCATAGATGTTTCTGTCTGCAGTTACATTTCTTTGGTGGGTTGTTCTTGTTCTGGGTTGTGTCTGGGTTAAGTCTTTTTAAAATAGTCTTGTTGTGTCTGGTTATGAAAGTTTTCATGTTTTCGCCGCAGCTGTAGCTTACGCGTATTGTGTGTCGGTTGAATATCTTGGAGAGTATAGTATTTGGTGGGAAATGTTTGTCGATAAGTTGTAGGAAGTCATGGGCGATGTGAGTTTTACGTTTTGCTGTATGGTGGGTTAAACCAAGTGACGTTACGTTTTCTGTTGTACGTGGTGTTTACATTGATGTTTGATGGATTAAAGGTGAGTTGGGTGGTGAAGTTGCTTTGTTTAAGAGCTTGGTTGTAAATTGGTGCGGCATTTTCGAAGGTGTCTTTGCCAGATGAGAGTGTGTTAATTCGGTTGTTGATGGATGTGGGTAGTTGGCGTAATACTGATGGTGGGTGGTTGGACGATCTGTGAATGTAGAGGCTCGTCGTTGGGTTTTCTAAATGGTTTGTAGGTGTCGTTGCTAAGGTCAAATGTTACGTCAAGGAAGTTTGTGCGTTCATGGTTTGTCATCGCTGTGATTTTTAGTCCAAGCTCGTCAAATAGGTGTGAGAGGTTTTCTTTCTTTGTCGCAGAGTCTTCCAGATTTCGTATTTATGACTGCAAGGCCATCGTCACGGTATAAGCCGACGTTGTTTCCGTACCGTTGCTGTAGTTGGTCGAGTAAGAATAGCCCTACAAGCTCGCAAACTTCCGCTCCATCATAGCTGCCCATGGTTACATCAAACGTGTTGGTAGCGTTGCGTTTGGACCATGATTTGTTTTGGACAAATGCTGGACAAATGCCTAGCGTGGGCAAAACAATACACACCAATCACAGAAAAAGACACCATTATAAAACACGCAAGAAAATCACTTCTTTTCCACCAAAACAAATCATGGTCCAAACGCAACGCTACCAACACGTTTGATGTAACCATAGGCAGCTATGATGGAGCGGAAGTTTGCGAGCTTGTAGGGCTATTCTTACTCGACCAACTACAGCAACGGTACGGAAACAACGTCGGCTTATACCGTGACGATGGCCTTGCAGTCATAAATACGAAATCTGGAAGACTTTGCGACAAAGAAAGAAAAACCCTCTCACACCTATTTGACGAGCTTGGACTAAAAATCACAGCGATGACAAACCATGAACGCACAAACTTCCTTGACGTAACATTTGACCTTAGCAACGACACCTACAAACCATATAGAAAACCCAACGACGAGCCCTCTACATTCACAGATCGTCCAACCACCCACCATCAATATTACGCCAACTACCCACATCCATCAACAACCGAATTAACACACTCTCATCTGGCAAAGACACCTTCGA